ACCTCCCGCCTTTTCCTTCCAGGAGTTCGTGCCCGCGGCGCACAGGTGGGTCGCAGGAGCGGAAGTGGGACGGAGCCCGGAGTCCCGATGCCAGGCTGTTGGCACCGTGGGGCTGGGTACACGAGGTCAGAACTCAAAACCCCAGCAGAATTTAGTGCTCCAGGCTCTTGGGGGGGAGGGCGTAGAGGGGTCGTCCCACTCCCGGGGGGCCGGTCAGGACTTTGGAGCTACTGTACTCAAGGGGCCACAGTGTTCACGGGTGTCAAGGATTAAAGGCCCAGGTACTTGGGCGTTGGGACCTAGACACAAGGCCGAGGGCTGCCACCCCCCAGGCTAGCTTCCTGGAGACCAGGCCCTCACACCCTGTTCTCTCAGCTCCTCTCTGGACATCAGAAAGAAGCTCTCGGGGCCGCTACCTCCAAGGCTGGATGAGAGTTTGGGTGAACCAGGCCCTTGGGAGGATGTGGGCACGGGCTGGCAGGGTAAGTGCAGGGAGGGCTGGGTGGGAGGGGCGCCGGGGCAGGATGCCGTCCTGACTGACTTGTTTCCACCTAGGGACTCCAGGTGCCACTCCAGGCAGTGACGTGGACAGTGTGGGCGGCGGCAGCGAGTCTCGGTCCCTGGACTCTCCTACTTCCAGCCCAGGTGGGGACAGGACCTGGCCCGGACCCACTCCCCACTTCTGACCATCCTCCAGCTCCTGGCCAACCTCTGGCCCTCAATCTCTAGTCTATCCTTTGACCTCTGACCTACCCTGCACCGCTGACCTACTCCCTAAACCTTTGACCCGTTCTCTTCATCTAATTTCTGAACCACTACCCAAGTTGCTGACCCGGCACCATCCTTAAACACTGACCTCTCTGGTCTCCAGTCCTGACCTCCGACCCCTTCCCCCATGGGCATCTATCTGAGTCATTCTGGAAGCCTTGAAAAACAGGAGTGTCTCCTTAGCCCTAGAATTTCCCATGACCCCTGTCTGACCCCAGGCCCTGGCACGCGGCGGCTGGTGAAGGTTGCATCCACCGGCACCGAATCCTCAGATGACTTTGAGGAGCGAGACCCTGGTGAGACTGGAAGCAGACAGGGTAGGGTGGGGCGGGGCGGGGCAGAAGGTGGACCAGCACCCTTGACCCTGTCTCTCTACAGACCTGGGAGATGGGCTGGAGAACGGACTGGGTAGCCCCTTCAGGAAGTGGACGCTGTCCAGCGCGGCTCAAACACACCGGCTGCGGCGGCTACGGGGCCCCGCCAAGTGCCGCGAATGCGAAGCCTTCATGGTCAGCGGGACTGAGTGTGAGGAGGTGTGGCCTGGGCCTATGACCAAATGACTTCTGCTGACCCCCAATGACCTCCCTGACCTGAGATCCCCACAACCTTCCTGCCCTTGGGCCCCACCTGATCTGATGATGTCCTATGAGCCCCCGTTCCCTGAGAGTCCCTGTGACCATCTTCTTTCACTGACCCTCTGACCTTCCCCCCAGTGCTTTCTGGCCTGCCACAAGCGCTGCCTGGAAACTCTACTGATCCTCTGTGGACACAGGCGGCTTCCAGCCCGGACACCTCTCTTTGGGGTCGACTTTCTGCAGCTGCCCAGGGACTTCCCAGAAGAGGTGCCATTTGTGGTCACCAGGTGCACGAGTGAGATAGAACACCGCGCCCTGGGTGTGCAGGTGCCGCCTTGACCCCTGACTGTCCCCAGAAGTGACCCGACCCTAGGGTGACCAGATCTTGAGTCAGGTCCCTTTCCCCCCCTTGCCTGCAGGGCATTTACCGGGTCAGCGGGTCCCGGGTCCGCGTGGAGAGGCTGTGCCAGGCTTTCGAGAATGGCCGTGCACTGGTGGATCTGTCCGGGAACTCGCCTCATGACGTCTCCAGTGTCCTCAAGCGATTTCTCCAGGAGGTGGGTGTTCAGGGCATTGGTGGGGGTGGGCAGGGGGCCAGGCGGATCCAGGCTGAGGACCTTCTGCAGCCCACCCATGCTCGTGTCGCCCCCGCCCATTCCACCCCCAGCTCACCGACCCCGTGATCCCCTTCCACCTCTACGACGCCTTCATCTCTCTGGCTAAGACCCTGCATGCAGACCCTGGGGACGACCCCGGGACCCCCAGCCCCAGCCCTGAGGTTGTCCGCTCGCTGAAGACCCTCTTGGTACAGCTGCCTGACTCTAACTACAACACCCTGCGGCACCTGGTGGCCCATCTATTCAGGTGTGCATGGGTCCCTGAGCCTTGAAACATGCCCCCCCCACCCCAGACATGAGACTACTGACCTTTGTGGCTTCACCCCCTCATGCTGACCTCTGACCTCCAACATGTGTTGTCTGAATTCTGAACCTTAAAACATAACTTTAGGTACTGACCCCTGACCTCCAACTCTGGGCATGTGGCTGTTAGTTTCAAATAGCAACTGGGACAACTAACCCATGACATGGGCAAGTCACCACTAGACTGACCTGCGAGTCCTACCCTTACCTTCAGACCCATGACCTTGCACCCTGTGCCCTGACCCTTCTCTTCACACCATCCCCAGGGTGGCCGCACGGTTTGAGGAAAACAAGATGTCTGCCAACAACCTGGGCATCGTGTTTGGGCCAACATTGCTACAGGCGCCAGATTGTCCACGGGCAGCCGGCACCCTCCCTGTCACCTGCTTGCTAGACTCCGGGCACCAGGCCCAGCTGGTTGAGTTCCTCATCGTGCACTACGAACAGATCTTCGGGATGGATGAGCTCCCTGTGGCCACTGAGCCCCTGCCCCAGAACCCCAGCCCGGCCCTGGGGTCCCTCACAGCCCACCTCCAGCCAACACCCCCACACTTTGCCCCAGAACCTCAGTCCCCAGCTATGGCCTCGGATCCTGGCCCAGATCCCGAACCCCACAGTGCCCTGGAGAAGCATCCCAAGGTCACACTTCCGGAGGTAGGAACCCACTGAGCCACAGACACAGCCAGGGCCTTATCTCTGTTGAATTCTCTCACTCTCACCTTCTCTCCTAGCTCTCCCTTTAAAATTTCTTTAATTCTTCCCCTCCTTCCCTCATTGTTTTTTTTCTGAGTTGGAGTGTCACTCTGTCACCCAGACGGGAGTGCAGTGGCATGCTCACGCCCACTGCAGCCTTGACCTGCTGGGCTCAGGCGATCCTTCCACCTCAGCCTTCCAAGGAGCTGGAACTACAGGTGCACACCACCATGCCCAGCTAATTTTAAAATTTATTATAGACAAGGTCTCACCAAGTTGCTCAGGCTGGTCTCGAACCCCTGAGCTCAGGCAATCCTCTCGCCCCGGCCTCCCAAAGTGCTGGGATGACAGGCGTGAGCCACTATGCCTGATTTCCCTTCCTCATTTAGCCTGTACTCATTCTGGAAGGAGTAGTGAAGAACAGAGTGGTGGGCATAATGGAGTAACTCCCTTCAGAGGCACTAACGTGGGTCATCACTCATTCCTTCAACAGAGTATTTATTGAGCACTTACTTCACACCAAGCATGGTTCCAGGCATTAAAGACATCAGTCAGCTAAATATTCAAAGACCCCCAACCCTCTCAGTGTTAGCATTCTAGTGAGGAGAGACCAACAATAAATCATATGAGTCAGGCGTGGTGGCTCATACTTATAATCCCAGAATTTTGGGAGGCAGAGGCAGAAGAATCACTTGAGGCCAGGCGTTTGAGACCAGCCTGGGCAACAGAGCTAGACCTTGTCTCTAAAAAAACAAAATATATGATACAAAGTCAGTTATACAGGATGCTACAAGGTGATGGTGAGTATAATGGAGGAAGGAAAGGGTAGATTGGGGACAGGACATCAGGAGCACCAAGGTGAGAAGTGGAGGACAGTTTCTAGCAGTATATAGGATGGTGTGGGCAGGTCTTATGGAGAAGATGAATTTCAGCAAAGACTGGAAGGACATGAGGGAGGAGAGAGTTATGTGGAGATCCGGGGAAGAGTATTCCAGACAAAGGGAACAGCCAATGCAAAGGCCCTGAGGCAGCAGCACACATGGTGTGTTCTTCAGGGCACAATCCCACGCTGTAATGACGGAAGATGGTAGAAAGGCCAAAGAAGGGTAGGCGCAGATGGCTTTGCCAGCCATCACAGACCTCATGCCTGCTATGCACAGGGTGTGGACCACCACTAAGCACCAACCATGCTAGGGGGACAAAACACCATTGAATATACACCTACTATGCACAAGGTGCTATGGAGCTCCTGTCATCCTCCACAGTCCTGAGAAGTAGATACTGTTAGTGAAAATCATTTGCAGGTAAAACACTAAGACTTTGAGCAGTTAAATGACCCTAAAAGGGAAGCAGTGGCAGTTGGAATTTTTTTTTTTTTTTTTTTTTGAGTTGGAGTCTCACTCTGTCACCCAGACTGGACCCTCGAACCCGCGGGCTCAGGCAATCCACTCACCTCAGCCTCCCAAAGTGCTGGGTTTACAGGCTGAGCCACCGAGCCCGGCCTGGCAGTTGGAATTTTTAACTGGTCTCCCCCATCAGGAGCCAGAGCTCAGCTGTGAACCAGGAAGACGGCTGCCATGGTCACTCTGGGCAGCCAGAATAGTCCACGCCCAAGACCTGTGCTCCTGGTATCTTGTGACACCCACCATTCCTGAGAGCAAGGATCTCCCCTGCAGCAGCCTAGAGCTGAGAAGGGGCTGCTGCTGAGCTGCAGGCCTGAAAACATTCTGGAATGGCTCATCAAGTGCTCAAGACAGCGGCTGGTGTGTAGAAAGAACTCAAGCTGCTGGTGCCATTTAGCTAGAAGTGGAACAGTGAAAATACGCAGACAAACTAGAAAGCAGATGAAAATTGGTGACAGTTACAGAGAGCAGCGCAGGATGGTAGCACAGGATGGCTGGCCCTCTGCTGAATGAGGGAGTTCACATGGAGCCTCATGGATCCCACAGTCCAGATTCAATTCACAACACGGTCTGTGCAGAAGGCCCAGGCAGTCCATGTACAAGGGCATCATCCCTCCCCAGATACCAAAACTGCAAGGGAACTTTTGCACACTCAGGAACAAGCCCTCAGCTTCCCAAGAGTCTCAAATAACTGGGATTTTATTGTTAGGATCTCATTCTTGGGTTTCTTCCTGCAGATTCCAACTCCACAGAGTGGCCAGAGAGAGGAACTAGCTGAAGTCACCAGAGATGAGGAAGGGGAAGGTAAGTGTGTTGAGGAGTGGTTCAGGAGCCTGGGGAGTGCCCCCACCCCAGGGTGACTCATGGGGGGACATCCAGAAGATTGGGGGTGCTCAGCATCGACCACCCCACCCCACAGCATCCAGCCAAGGCCCTGAGGACTCACTTCTTGGGACACAGTCTCGTGGCCACTTCAGCCGCCAGCCAGTGAAGTATCCCCGGGGAGGTGTGCGGCCCGTTACCCATCAGTTGTCCAGCTTGGCCCTGGTGGCTTCCAAGTTGTGTGAGGAGACTCCTGTCCCATCAGTACCCCGAGGGAGTTTGCGGGGGCGGGGACCCAGCCCTGCCGCTGCCTCCCCTGAGGGCAGCCCCCTGCGCCGCACCCCACTGCCCAAGCATTTTGAGATCACCCAGGAGACAGCCCGGCTACTCTCCAAGCTAGACAGTGAGGCTGTGCCCAGGGCCACCTGCTACCAGGACGCCCAACCTGAGGAAACTGAGGACCACCTCTGACCACCCTGCCACCCTGAATAAGGGGCTCAGGACTGAGAAGATGGACGCCTTCTCCCCACCTACCCTAATCTGGTGGCCAAACATGGGGCTAGGAGTTCAATGTTGGGGGGATACAGAGTTCCTGTAAGACAATATGGTCTGGGGGTGGCCTAAGACCCTTTTCCGGCAATGTGCGGGGTCTTCCCACTAGATGCAGGTCACTGCCAAGCATCAGGGCCACTCAGGCTGAGGTCACTCAGGATCAACACTCAGGGTCAATATAGGTCATGAGATCCTTGGGGTTCACCCTGGTCTCTGACCCCTGGCACAGGGCTGTCTTTTACTACTTTGGTTGTAGTCCCCCTCCCCCTCCCCCACCCCTCTGCCTCCTTTGTTGACTCCAAGGGACCTGTTTTTGGAGGAGGTGAGGGCAGCCCAGACTTCACATCCTGGTGGTGCCTAGGGCCTGAGGTCTGATGGCCTCTGAATAAACTGTGTCCTGTATACCCTTGCGTGTCGGTTTGCCAAGGGAAGGTGGTAGGGAAGAGGCCAGGAAGAGCCGCACCCCTCGCCCCATTTTACCGACCAGAGGAACCGAGGCCCTCCTCCTTCGTCCTCCGACACCCTGGAGAGCCTGAATACAGGCAATCAGGGCTGGTCCTGGACACCGGGCTGAGTCACGCCAGCCCTCCCGGAGCTCCGCGTCCCCGATCCGGTCCTGCATAATCAGACAAATACAGTATTACAAAGTGCAGATAACCGGGACAATGGGGCTATGTGTCGGCCCGTGGGAGCCCGGGCCGCCGCGAGGAGGCCGGGGAGGAAGCCGCGGGGCAGGGCCGCGCCGCGCAGGCTGCAGCGCGGCCCCGGGC